CACTGCTGCTGGTCATGTTCAACTCCTTGTCAATGGCTTCCATCTCCTTTCTCAAAATATCAGCCTGCTTGATGGTGAATGGTTCAAAAAGTCCCTCCAAGAGGTACACCTCATTGTCAAGCGGTTTCACCTGCAAGTGTCGTAAGATGATGTGCGCAAGATCCTGACAGAACTGGTAAGGATACACCTGTGCCAGTTTGGTTCTGCTTCCGAAGGAACCAGCGTTTCCCTCTAGGGGTTGGTGTTCATGCTTGACTGAGCTGGAAATTTTTTACACCGTCTGAAGATCGGTCTCAGAACCTCGGAAGGTAAACAGTGCATCAAGCTCGTAGGCTTGAGACTTCTGAGCCCGGATTCAGGATCCTTTAGTCCGTATGCACAGAAATGGAAATCTCCCCAGGTCACGGATGGGTCTGAAAACAATTGCTGCATGCATTTCAGATACCATATCCTGGATGTCTGAGGACTTTCGATAATGAAGTATCTTCTGTGCTTCAACTGATAACGCGCAATGGATGCCACAAATTCAACCAAGGTAGCGTCTCCGCTTTTCCCCCACCTTTTGCTGGTCTTGCTGGATGTTCTGCATATTTGACCATGGTCCACAGACTGGTGCCATAAGGATGACATCAGGTGCTTGTTCCCTGATGATCTCCGTGACCATGTGTCGTCCCTTGGATGTCATTACATCGAATCCTGTGCGGATGTCCACGGGAGTCCCAACCTTAAGACCTGATAGTGCACAGCATTGACTGAATCTGGCACTTCCTGCAAAGATCTCGAGAACGTGGATCTTTCCCTTACGTACACAATTCCAATGTGCGCGTGTTCAGGAATGGATGTGAGGTCCTCGACGAGCATGTTCTCTGCTGGATGAGGTACTTGGCACTGAGGATCTTTGGCTTAGGAGCTGGTGCGGATGATTCCTTTTTCTTGGTACCTACAGAGGAGCCTGGATGCTCCTTCTGCAATCTCGCTCTTCAGGTAACAGAAAGTCAATTCCGGGTTTCCCCGGAGGGATGGTCTCATCCTTCCTGAGCTTTGTCATGTTAACCTTGATAAGTGGAGTCCCAAGATCAACTCCTACCATCGCTCCTTCAATGAAAATGACTTTTCCTTTTAGCCATATTCCTCCCTTGCTTCCATCGGAACGAATCTTGGATTTGTCTTCCTGCCAGTAGAATACCTTGGCCTTCACCTGAAGAGGCTTTGAACTCATTCGGAGATTTTGAGCAAGGTCTCGTCGGATGTCCTCGGATTGATCTTGAGTTGTGCCTTCAGGAGCCGAACTGCTGCTTCAGCTCGATTTGGCCATGGTGTATTCGGTCCCAAAGATATCGGAGTGATGTCAAGGGACTGATAGAAATGTTCCCATGTATCTGTCATGAAGGCTTGATCTGCGACAACTGATTCGGGCTGCAAGTGGTACTGGTCAAAGTAGTTCCTGAGGACAGTGATGTTCTCGACTTCTTGCGTAGTTGTCACTGCCTCTGCAGTGAGCAATGTTGTTGCTCCATCCAGGATGACAAAAACAATGATGTGTTCCCCAGTTCCAAGAGGAACTTGACAGTGATCAATGAATGTCATGTCACCAAAGGTGTCCGCTCGAAGTCCGCTTGTCTTGCTTCGTGATGGTGCATGTTTCGCCACTTGGCAAACTTCACACTCACTTCGGATCTTGTCAAATAGATCGAATGTTGATTTCGGCAAATGAAGTGCTTGGGTTCTAAATCGAAACTGATCTGTTGTCATATGATGATGCTGCAGGTGGAGTTTCTTCAACTCTTCTGGATTTGTGGATTCTGCCTAGGGCAAGCGGAAGCGATGTCGGTTCTTCTGAGGATGGTGCTAAAGGATCTGGCTCAATAGTCGTCTTGTCGATGATCCTGTCTGCTGCCGATCCTGAACCTGCTTCTACGTCCTTCAGCGAATTGTCCGAGAAGGTGAAAATGGTCTTACCTATCCACAGGTTAATCATTGGTTTATTTGCCTGGGATGTAAGTCTCCAATTGTCTTCCAAGATATCTGGATCTCCACCTGCGGATGCATCAATGATTTCCGTGGTACGTTTTCGGCTGGTGTGATCAGGCTTGATTGGACATTCCTTGGCTCCATTTGGTGTGAACAGCGCGTTTCGGGGCGTGATGTGCGCACGGATGAGCTGCTTGTTCTTCTTGTCAAGGATCCAATGGTCCTGCTTTTGAGACCCAATGATCTTAGGAGTTGCTAGGTCCTTCTTTGTCTCGGATGATTTTGCTGCACAAACAGTTTCGCTCCTATCCCCGGAGGGAAATTTGATGCTGTTATCATCGTCATAGACATAGTTGGTGAAGCCCTTGTGAGCAATTTCTCCATGTGCCTTCACTCTTGCAACTCCAGCGAGATCGACGAGTGCATGTCCTGTACCGGATACTGGAACTGCTTGACGGTTCATGCCAAAGGCCTTGCATGTGATCTTGTCACATTGAGGTGTGTGCTCGATGGTCATGTAGAGGTTCCGCATCTGGCTGATGCTGAGAAGGATCGGTACAGCTCCTTGTTCAAGGACGTCGATGTTCGTACTGCACGGAGGAGTTGTGTGATATCGAAGATGCAGGGTCCAATTTTTTCCCTGGCGGTCTCTCCGGTTGCAAAAGTGAACTTGGTCTCGGCCGGGATGTACTCGTAGGAGATGATGTCCTTGATTGGTTCGATTGCCTGGGTAAAACGCTGGATTGCATGCCAGCTGCCCATAGATCTGGTACATCCGTTGTCCAGAGTCGCATAGGTCGGGTTGTGCTGGGGGTTGATGACAGGCGCCATCAGCTTTGTTGCCAAAAGGCTGTGATTTGTTGTGACGGACAGATTGTGTTCTGAAACTGTATCTGATCTGATCAGCTTCTCATGGATGGCCTTTTTCCCAGGATACTCATATGCATCATGGAATGCCATTCACGCTTGTCCTGTGCTGGATGTCTCATGGGATGAGTACCATCCATGTTCGTTCCATGTCCATGATTGATCCCAATCTTGGTCTGTCCAACCGGCATAGGTAGGCTCTATGGATGGTGCAGTCTGCTGGATGGCGGGCTGCTCCTCCGTCTTTTCTGCGGTGGCTGCGAACGTCTTGGATTTTCCTTTCTCCTGTCCGCTCTTTCCTTTGCCACTCTCATAGGATGGATAACCTTTGTTTCCATCATAGGGATATTGGAATTTTGATTTTCCTTTCTTTCCCTTCTTTCCTTTGCCTTTTCCCCAATATGCCTGGTCGTAGGGATCATAGTTTTCGTTGGCCATATTGGCCTTTCCGCCAGAACCGCTTTTTCTGAAGGGTTTGAGGCCACCTCGTTGGTGACTGCCCTTTTTGTTTCCTGATTTTCCTTTTCCTTTTCTCTTCTTGAACTTGAAGTTCTGCCCCGACACTTTTCTTGCAATGAACGCATCGTTCTCCTCGAGGACCCAGAACGTCTCTTCATCGTTGTTTGACATGAATCCTTCAAGTCCTTCTTCATCCTCAACCCAGAAGCCTTCTTCTCCTTCATATTCACCTTGTTCGATGAAGAATGTGTTGCTTCGGTTGCCTCCTTGAGGTCGGATGGATGGATCTTGGATCGATGTCCTCGTTGCGATGAAGAGTTCATGGTAGTGCGTCTTCAGCATCTCGTAGGAATAATTCTCGAGTGAGATGTTTCTCAATGACGTTGCACTTGTGAGTCGTTCTCTTTGTTGATCTGACAACTCACTTTGAATGATGAAAAACTGTGCAATGAGATTATATGACTGTAGGATCGTCCTCATTGAGCAGGGCTGGAGGCGGTGCTCGAGCACCGGCTGCTTGCTGATGTCGAGCAATTGTTCTTGCATTTGCGCCCTGTACGGACTGTCGAAATGGTAGAGACTGTGCCGTAAAGATTGGCATCAAGTCCATCCATGCTGCCTTCAATCTCATGAGAAGGATTTCGAATTTTGAGGTAAAAATGAGGAACTCTTGGTTCTGCCTTCTGTGGTTGAAGAAACTGAGGAGTCTGTACAGATACACGTTGGTCGCACCTTTCAAAAAGTACTTCTTCAGCGTGTTCTTGAAATAGTTGACTCCTTCATCAGGATCTTGCAATGCTCGGTTCAAAACACATGGAGTTCGATAAGGACAATAACCAATTCAAATTTGAGTTTGATTCCAAATTCATTTGGCCATGACAATAGCTATCTTCTCCAGTTGATGTTTGAAGTGCACAAGAAACTGCAAACGAGTAAACTTGAATTTGGTTTGAACTCGAAAGCTTTTTTGACTGGATATTCTTCCCTTACTTGAATTTCAGTAGTTGTTATTGGCGATGATGGAACCAACTTAGACAAGCAACGCGCACACACGAACTAGCATGTCAGGAATTATGCACAACATTCGAGTTAACATGTAAATGCAACTGCGCAAGGATATGACTTAGGAATGAGTTCCTTTTCCCCGAGATGTTTTGCTGAATTTCTCTGCCAAACAAAAAATAAACGCCGAATAATAGGGCTGCTACAGGCGCGTTGCAGCTGCCAAAACATACTTCGCGCACTACTCCTGTACTGAACAGTTGTGCTTTGAGCTTGAGCTGCCAAATTGCACTTTGCATACTCCAATGTGACTTTAAGCGCACTTCTCGCACGCCAATGTGACGGTCACACAACTCGCAACTCCGAATCAACGTTGAGCTTAACTTCTGCTTGGTTAGAATTTGCATGGAGTTGAGTGTCCAGTTCATTTCAGAGTCTCAAGGCATTTGTCACCCCCAGTCTGGCCAAAATCCTCAGTTCTGCCCAAAAGCCTGAGTATTTCATACATATATATATATATATAAATTTGCTGACTCCCGGAGTTGCCAACGCGTCGTAAGTGCGGGTTCAAGCGATTCAAGGGCCAAGCCAGGGCTTGGGCCTAGTGTCTTGTCAGGCAGTGGAAGGTGCGATCCTCGGAAAGCCTCTTCTCTCAAGTCTCTTCGGGCGCATGCCTCGAGCGCATATTTTTCGGGCGTGAGGCCAGCCGCGGCAGTTCGAAGCATCTGTCAGCTCGCCGGCGCCCAAGGGACTGCCAGCGACACCTGACATCCCATCTGACGCGTTACCTGTTTGGGCCGAGGTCCACCCCATCAGAGGCCCGGAAGCTTGGCAGCTTGGCAGCTTGGCATGGGAGAGAGCCTAGGCCGACGCTCCCTGGGTGCTGAGTCTGGGACAGAGCGAAGATTCGATGGCGAAGACGAAGACATCAGTTCAGAGGCACCGGTTCAGCCTGAGGTCAGAGTCAGCCCCTTCAAGAGCTGCTGCAGTTCTTTGCCAAGACGCACCATAGCACAGTTCCCATAGTGGAGGCCAAGGACCTAAGAAGGACCTAAGGAGCTGTGGGCCTGGCAGGATGCGAAGGGCCTGGTTTACAACCTGAGCAGAAGGCCATGTTAAAACAGCCATGCAAGAAGCCCTCAAGCTGAAAGATCCACCGATCCATGAGCAGAATGCTTCCGCCAGGGATTTGCTTTCCTACTTGGACCTGGGCTTGCAGTCAGCCGCAAGGTGGGCTCAGAGATTGAGGGCTCGGTGGGTCATGGTGGGTGTCGGTGGGTCGGTGTCCGTGGGTCGGTGGGTCGGTGGGTCGGTGGGTCGGTCGGCGGGTCCGGTGTGGCATGTGGCATGGGTCAGGGACGAAGTGGAGAATGAGGAGCGCATTAGCTTGGATACCTCCGTGCCCATCGAGGCGAAGAACCAGCGTGTAACAGACAGTGTAACAGTCTGTGAAACGCGCGAAATTGGCTGAGGTGGTGGTCAAAGCCTTGAAGAGATACAAACAGGACGAGAGCGTGTTGACGGGAAACAGTCAGGGTCTTTGGCAAGCCTTGCAACGTGGGCAACGTGAGCAGCCTGCAAAGCATGCAAAGCGCGGAACTGTCTGCTAAGGCTCGTCCAGTGCGCCCACAGCCCGACCCTCATTCTGCTTTTTCGAAACCAAAGCGAAGCCGCTCAGCTCTGAGGTTTCCTCCTCAATGATCCAGGTGCAAACATTCCTCAGCTTGCGACCGGTTGCCAGCGGGTCATGCCTCGGTCAGGAGCAGTCCCTGCTGGATGGTCTGTTACCGATGCCAGATAAGGACCCAAAGAGCCAGGCGAGAGTGCACAAGAGTGGCACATATCGTAAGCACCCCGCAAGCGACTTGTGGAGTCTCAGATCAAACATGTTTGGATCACACAGAAAACTGCTCCGCTGGATGTCAGTGGCAGTCAACATGTGCAAGCATTCATGGCATGTCCTCACCCCAATTGTTGTTTTCTTGGCCTTGCTTTTTTTCGTGCTTTTTTCGCCATGGCGGCGGGCGCGGCTGCGGCGGCCGAGCGGGGCCTCCTGCGGTTGCTGCAGCGCTTGGGCGAGGACTGCGAGTCGAAGGACGCGAAGGACGTGGCCGAGTCGGCCGCGTCCGCGTCGGCCCAAAAGGCGCGGGCCCAGATCTCGCAGCTGGTGGCAGAGCTGCAAGAGCTCAGCAGCGTGTGGGGTGGACAGCAGAGCAGCCACCTGCAGCGACTGGGTCAGCACTTGGAGGGGCTACCACCTGGCAGTCGTGCCAGGGCCGTGCAGGCCTTTGAGCCTTTGCAGGAGGACATGGTGCGGCAGATGCAGGCGTCCACCGCAGCCCTGACTGCTTGGCTGGATGATCCCCATGAGGCAAAGTTGGAAGAAGAGCTGCGAATTCTGGAGGGCTCCTACTTGAAGAGCTGCTACCGGTGGGCAGGCGATGCCAACACCCGGGTCCAGTTCTTGATGGCGCTGGCCATGGTGTTGCGCTCGGACAAGATGAGCCCAGGGCAGAGTGGGAGGATCAGCTCGCACTTCTTCTGCCTTCCAAGTCAAGGCGACGTGCGGGAGCTTTGGCTGGAGGGCCGCCTGGCGCGGTACGACCGGTGCTGGCGCCGGGCGGGCCGGCTTTGTTTGGCGGCCAACCTCGGGGACGAGCTGCGAAGGCGCCTGGGCCGGGCCCTGGAGGCGCTGGAGGCACTCAAGGATTTGGAGGAAGAAGGAGAAAGAGAAGCAACAGAAGCAACAAAAGCAACAGAAGCAACAGAAGGAGGAGAAGGAAGAGAAGGAAGAGAAGGGAGAGAAGGAGGCGAAGGAAGAGGAAGAGAAGGAAAAGATTCGGAGAAAGGGGCCACCTGGCTGGAGCGCGAGGCCAGGGAGCGCATGGTGTCCAGGGCGCTGGCCGGCTTCGTGGCGGAGTACGGGGGTGCGCCCGAGCTCAGGGAGTTGGCGCAATGCCCCGAGTTCAGCTTGAGGTCCGAAGCTTTGCTTCAAGTCTTCTACGACCTGCAGGATCCCTTCGAAGTGCGCAACGACGCGGTGTGCCTCACGCAGCACTGGGCCAACATCAAGGACTTGCTTGATGTGTCCCCACCTCCGAAACCAGCTCCCAAAAAAAGCCCTAAGCCTCCGAAAGCAGCCAAAGCAGCCAAAGCGGCCAAAGTGGCCAAAGCGCCAGTATCGGCCTCGCCCCAGGCGCCGTTGCCAAGCCCGGAGACTCTGAAGGCCAAGAGGAGCCGGAGCCGGAGCGAGAGTTTGCGGCTTAAGGTTCGGAAGACTGGCACGAAAGATGAGGCCAGGGACGATGTCAAGGAGGCCAAAGAGGACAAAGAGCGGGTGATGCCGGTGAAGGTTGACCTCACAACTGAAGAGAAGGCCAAGCCTTCGCCCCCTGAAGCGCACGTCCACGCCGCACACGCGCACGCGTACCCGTATTACCCCATGTGGCATATGACCATGCCTGGGATGATGCCAAGACCCCTGGGCATGATCCCGCAGTACATGATGCCGATTGTGGAAAAGAAGAAGAAGGACAAGAAGAAGGACAAGAAGGCGAGAAGAAGCTCGGAGTCTCCGGAGCCAAGGAAGAAAAAGGAGAAGGAGGGCAAGGCAAAGAAGGAGAAAGGCCAAAGGAAGGATAAGAAGGAGAAAAGATAGGTAGGTGTCCGAAACTGGTCTCACCTGTAGCCAGCGCCGCAATATTTTGATCTGAAAACTGGCAAGTGACATGGACTGCGAGGCACAATGGCCGCGTCGTTGTTGCATCTGATGAACATGTTCATAGCGCATGGCGCATCTTGCCAGACGGGCTTCCCTGGAGCATATGTCTCGCACGAGAAGGACTGACAGAGCCGAGTCGAGCCGAGTCGAGAGATGTCGAGCGATGTCCAGCGAAGCGCCAGGAGCTGACGATCAAAGATCTCATCCTGCGGTTGCTGGAGGCAGAGAACCGCAAAGTGCTCCTCGTGCAGGCAAGTGCAGTGCGAATACCAGGGTTGTTCCTTAAATGAGCCAGTCAGCGTCATTTCGTATTATTTGCATTTCTATGTTCCGTACTTTCGGCGTCAAAGACAGGCTCCCTATTGAGCCACAGGCTCCCTTGCAAGTTTGTTTTCGAGGAGAAGCCGCCCAAGCTGTGGGTGCCTCGGGTCTTTGGGTCTTTGGGTTTGCATCAGCAAACTCGATGAATCGGAGGCAAATCATCTCAGCTGGCGATGTGTGGCGGCTGCTCATTGGCCAGGCCAAGGGCAACTCTTGCCATGTGCCGTCCCATGCTTCGGAGGACTTGAAGCCGGGGGAGACTGCAGTCTGAAGCACCCCGCCGCAAGCGCCTCTGACTCAGAAGAGAGTTGGAGAGACGTGCAACGCTTCCGGTCCCTAGGAGCCGTCATCTTTGAGGGCTGATGTGGAATACTGCCTGTTGAAAAGAGGCGCCACCATTGAATTGTCTCGCGCTGAATTGCAACGGGTTGGAATCCATGACTCAGAGATCTCTTGCTATCACTGTGCCGCTTGCTCTTGTCCAAGTTGCTCACAGGCTCAGCTCAGCTTCATGCCATTCCGCGTGTCTAGGGAACCGTTCCATTGATTCAAGTTCATTCACACTGATCCGATCCGGAAGTCGGGGAAGTCGGAGCGACATGGCAAGCTCCGCGGTGCTGGAGCCTTGAAGCGAGCGCCATTGAATGGTTTGCCGCGGTTGCCGCGGTTTGCTGGCGATGCGAGGGCCATTCCGGAGGGCGGAGATGAGCTTTTTGCAAAGTGCCGCTAAGAAACGGACGCAAACGGGCGACGAGAAGCCTTCAGGTACTTCTCAGAAATCACGCTGGACATCATCGAGGCCTTGGCCCTAACGGTCCCAACGCAAACACACTTTCCTTTTGCGCAGAGGAGCAGACCTTCCTGAAGCGGGCCATGGAAGAGCCAGGGCAGGGCACTGAATATGTCAACTGATTGAGAGTTCACAGGGACGGCCGTACGCCATGCGATTTTCATTGCAGCACGTTGAGGAGTTGGATTATACAATGTATACAATTATATACACAAGAATATATATATATATATATATACACATATATACATATATATATATATATATATCGATGTATATATATAATATAATATGTTGTCATTTCGTCAGATTCTCTTTTTGAACAGTTGGAGGCCTCGGTACGTGCACTTGCGGCGAAGCTCCATTGGCACGGTGACCATCCCACCGCACATCGAGGAGAGAACGGCGTCCGAACGCTCGGGTGTTCACAAAACGGAATCGATCCGGCCGCAACTCGATCCAAATGTAGGAGAATTGTCAGGGGGAGTTCAACCAGGCGCTGCCACTAGTCGGCTCTGTGGGAGTTTCACGGTGCCAGGTTTGGACCGGGCATCCAAAAGTGGACCGGACTTTGCTGGGACCTAGGGCGCACAACGTCCAACTATCTGATGGCATGTGCCAAGGTTCATCTTGGACCGACGGGCCGAAAACCGGCTCCGGCCGCGCTGGCAGATTGCCACCGTCGGTTTTGAGTGATTTCCATCCCGAGGGACGTGAAGAGCATCGGCAACCAGCGGAACATCCCCATGCTCAGGGGGGTTGCTTGCTCCAAGAAGGCGAGTGCAATTGCATGGCACCTGGCACGCTTGTCGGTTGCCCGCTTGCCGGGTGCCGCTCGCGCAGAATTACGGAGCTCGACTGGGGAACGAGCCCCTCGGCGACTCCTTCCGTTTCCCACTCAGAGCCAACGTCCCTCGTGTGTCGAGCCGCTTTGCGGCCTCTTTTCTGAGGAGCCAAGTACATGAACGGGGTGAAGAAGCCGCCTCTGACGGCCTGTGCCCGAGAGCGGCTTTCGTCAAGTGCTGGATATTTGCAATTATATTTATTAATATTTGCATTTCAGGAGAATTGGAGAGCTTGCCACGTGCGTCCATTTGCACTGAGTCGCATCCCTTGACGCAGGGGCCTTCGATTCTGGACTCGTAGGGAACCTGGAGTGTCTCACAGCGGCCATGTATCCGGCAGTCGGATGGCCAAGCCACGTTCCGGCAAAATGGAGAACGCCAGGGAAATCTGGGAAACATGGAGTGCACAGAGCGTGCAAACTGGCCTGGAAGAGTCATGCCATATGCCTTTTGGGTGCGACATGCACGGCGCATGGGTTGCCAGTACGGGCTCGCACGACTCGGGCGCGTCCACGCGCGCACCATGGCGCATGCGAGAATCCAAACCGCCTTGGGCCGCGGACTTGAAGAGTTGGAAAGTGGCCCGTGCTGCGCCGCGTGCCTGTGCCTAGGCAAGCACCACTACAACTTCATCAAGAAGGCCAGTAGCTCACACACACACACACGTCCTGTGCTGCGCTGCACACGCACACAAGCCCAAATGCGGCCTGTGCATCTTGAGGTTGGAGAGGGCTCCTTCGGCGCTGCCATCCTTTGCCAGCATGACTCAGAGAAGGATCGAGACACCAAGGCCCTTGCAGTTCTTTGCTCATTTTCTCGAATGCGCAACAGAAGGGTCCTCGTTTGAAAGCTTGGGGGTCTGGGGGCTAAGAGTCCACACTCCTGCGCTTGACTTTCGTTAATGTTTGTAAAGCGTCCGTAAAGCGTCCACGCGAATCGTAGCTTCTGAGAGGTGACGTGGTGTTTCGTTGCGCGGGCGCAGTGTTTTGGCAGGTTGCGCGTTTGGGTCGCCGTGCCAGTGTGATTTGCATGGTCGTTTTGAGATGTCTTGAAGGAATGCGCGTGCAAGCGTTTGCTCCAAAGTTGTTTGTCGCTTTTGTTGGTCATGTCGTACAATCGGGGTGTTTTGGTGAGCTTGAAATTGTCCACAGCCGGTCGAAACCATTCTGGTGCCACAGTCCTGTTCCCATAAGGTGGACTTCGTGACAGGTGCAAGTCTTTGAACGATTTTGGCGCAGCGCTTTAGCTTGTTTTGTTCAGATGCTGTGGCAGGCACAGCGCTTCAGAGCTTTGAGCTTTTCGCGCAGATTGCGTGGCAGGTGCGGCGGTTTTGAGCTTGGCATGCGGGTTCTGTGGCTGGCGCAGCGCTCTGGAGCTTGGCGTTCAGATTGCGCGGCAGGCGCAGTGCTTTGGAGCTGACATGCGCAGCGCGAATGAGTGTCTTTGGAAGTCGTCTTGGGGGAATGTCTTTGAGGGATGTGTTTGGGAGGGGTGTCTTTGATGTCCTTGTGGGTGAGTTTGGGGAATGGGGAGGTTTTTGTGGATCTGTGGGGATGACTTCGCGGGTGCCTTTCCTGATGTTTCTAGTTGTTGGTGATGTGTCTTTGGCAGTTTGTCTTCGGAACATGTCTTTGAACATATCTTGCAAGAAGGGGATGTCTTGCGCAGCGTTATAAGGAACGTCTTGGGGGTGTCTTGGGAGAGATGCTGTTGGACACAACCGCGAACACACGCCAAGCGTCTGAACCAGCGGTGCTACGAACTACGAACCAATTGTATAAAGACATATACTTAAAAACAAACACCAACATGTATCTGACAATGGCGTCATGCGCGCGCTGGCCCCTGCCTGCCTTCAGGCAGGTCTGGGCATATTGTTGAGACTGGGTTCCTGCTTTGTCCCTTCTTCATGTACAAGCGCTCGCGGTCTTGTCGGTGCGAGGCTATCGTGAAGATGATCGACATCAGTCGTGCCTCGAAGCAGGAGAAGGATGACGCCCTCAAGGAAAGCAAGGCACCCGTGTGAACCGAAGAATCTTAAAGAAACAAAGAAAGCGGGAAAGAAACACCCAACGAGTCAACGAGCATAGCGAGAGAGAGAGAAAACTGAGCCGTTGCCAGGTGCTCGCCTCCCTGAAGCATCCCTACATCGTGCGGTACAGGGAGAGCTTTCACGAGGCCTCCGGTTTGTGACTGGCGGCCGTTGTGTTCACATAATACACGTGACCGGCACTGTTGACCAATGTTTGCGTCGCTTCTTTTGCACGTCTGCCCAGCTAGCAGACTTTTCTGCAAGCGCTTCAAGTTACACCAAGGACGGCTGGCTGTGCATTGTGATGGATTACTGCGAGGGCGGTGATCTTGCTGGCAAGATCAAGAGCGCAAGGCGGCGGGCCCGATGTGAGCCCGGCAAGCTAGAAATACCTCGCAGGCAGTCGAGCAAGATCTTCCCTCAAGACCAGGTTGTGAGATGGTTCACCCAGGCCTGGCAGCCTGCAGCTTGTGCCAGTGGAGCCCAGTTTGTGAACAGGCGATCCTTGCCCTCAAGTACATTCATGACCTCCACATTCTTCATAGAGACTTGAAGTCTGGAAATTTCTTCTTGTCCAAGAGCGGAGCTGCACTCAATGAAAGTTGTGTGTTTTGTTGCTTTGTTGCTTTTGTTTTCTCGCGAAATTAGGCAACATCAAGATGGGCGACTTTGGCATCGCCAAGGTGTGCTCAGCTCACCAGGTCCCCAGGATTCGAAGTCCGCGCAGGTCTTGGAGTGCACCGCAGCATGCGCGCAGACGCAGATCGGCACGCCCCGTCCTCGAGCGAGTGCATTCCAAGTGAAAAAGAAAAAGAAGATAGAAATGCAATACATGCAATGCATGCAATGAAGGCAATGAAGGCAATGAATGCAATTGTTCGATTTGAGGCCATACTATCTCTCGCCAGAGATTTGTCAAGGCAGGTCCTGTATCTTTCATGACTGGGAGCAGCACGTTCTTTGAGGCAAGAATTATGCCTGGAGCTCTGATATTTGGAGCATGGGCTGCATTCTCTACGAGATGTGTGCCAGGCGCGTGCTTGTGTGGCACGCTTGTGTGCAGCTTGCAGTCAGATTGCCTTACAATCCGACGTCCTGACTGGAAGCGGCAGGAAGGTGCCCTTTGACGCGCCCGACTTGCTTCTTGGCACCCCAAAGCCTCTTTCGACGCAATCAAGACTAAGAATGTGCAGAATGTGCAGAATGTGCAGAATGCCTTCCTCTTGACAGGGGGACTGTGGTGCACCTGTTTCTGATCAGGTTTATCTGGAGCAAGCTGTGTGCTTCGCTGAATAGTGGTTGTATCTGCGATTTCTGAATCAGTCAACGGGGTCCTCTACTTCCGATTGTTGTAACATGCTGCTAGTTGTTGCTGCTCATTCAAGCCAGAGTAGCTGCAATTAAATTAGATTTGAATTCGATTCCAATCTGGGAAAACAAGCTTGTTGTTTCTGCTGGTGAGCGCAAGGACAAGGCGATTTCAGTTCTAATGGTTTACAAGCTTTGAATTGCCACACTTGAAGCTTTACTCATATTTTAGTTTGAACGCAATGTAACATGGGGGATTCATCATGAGGCTAATAATTGAGGAGAACCAATTTTTTGTTCCCCTCAAAAGGAGTGAAAAGCCAGTTAAACACCATGAGAAAACCAACTTCTATTCCAATTGGCTGCAAGCTTTAGATTGCAAGGCTTTCAGTTTAAATGGGATATCGGTTAGAATTCACTTTAGATTGTCATTTTGATTCAGATAAACTAGTACTTCCCTTCCAAGTACGATTTTAATCATAGTTGAATTCGAACACTTATTCTAAAACGAGTTTAAGAAGCATTCACAGTTTGAGTTCGAATTGAAACAGTATGTCCTTCCAAGTCTATATACGAACTCCTTTCCAAAACGGAACTATAATTTTATCATACGTTAACTAGAATCTAGCATAGAATTACAAGCTGATTGTTTCTTCTGAGCAACTCAATTACATTTATTGAATCATATTTTAAATAGGAATTCCAAGTCTCTAGTTGTTGTTGAGATATAAGCAACATGTAAATAGTATCTGGTAGGGATAGACAAGCTCGTTGTTTGTTCAAGTTGGTTTAAATAGACTTCTTACACTCACTTGAGCTTTTGGGAAGACTGCACGCCTCAAAATTGCAAAACGCGCACGACCAAGGTCCCCTGTTCTGTTGAGAGTCGCACCTGAGGAAAAGCCTCATCCACAGGATCACGAAGGAGCCTGCGCCAGAGGCCAGGCATATCCAAGGCCCTTCCCCGCTTTATTATTTTTTGTGCCCAGATCCCCTCCGACTATGGTGTGGGCGTGCGGAACCTCGGCAAGGAGCCGCTGACAATCGTGAGTGGAATTTGAATTCACAGATATCAATCGCATAGTCTGAAAATAAAAACTATGAATCAGCAATGCAGCAAGAGTCGTCAGTGAGTGACATGCAGGAGCTCCTGGATAGGGATCCTGGGAAGCGGCCCCCAGCGGTCCATCCCTGAGCATTCGCATGTCCGCCAGCCACTCCGCGCAAACTCAGGCCGAGATCTTGAAAAGGCCAGTCATTCAAGACATGGTCAGAAGGCCAGAATTTGCACCTTCAGGGGCTTGGGCCTTCGAGTTTTGCAAGGATGCTGGATGAAGTCAAAGATGACTCCAAGGGTGAGGACGCCACCGCCACCAGCGTCAATGTCTCATCTCACATGTCTGCCAAGGAGGACAAGGGCGAAAAAGTTGACAAGGAAAAGAGCGAGAAGGAGAAGGCAGACAAGCCCAGTCCGCCCAGTCCGCTGCCCAAGCTTACCCCGCACTCCAAGCACGAGTCGCTAACTCCCGTTCCAGGCGCAGTGGCAGGTCCATACGGCAGTGCGCCCCGTACGTGATCCACGCCTTGCTCACACAAGCCTCTGGCGCAGGCGCGGCTGGCAAGTACAGCAAGGGAGAGCTGGTGGAGTACTACAGCGAGACCCACGGAGAGTGGCGCGCCGCCTTGGCAGAATCTCTGCCATGACAGACAAGGGAAGTGCACAGGTTGCCTGCCACAGTCACGGCGTCCAACGATGATGGCCGCTTGGCAGTTGGTGAGGGATAGTGAGTAGTGCTTGCTGAAAAGTCTGCGAATGTCAGGCCGCGTCCAGTTGAACGTCAAGCCAGGTGTGTGGATCTCTTTGGAGGACGGTTTGACACATGTGATGTTCGGCAGCGCCCCGCCTTGCCAGATTCAGGGCGCCAAGGTGCGCCCTCGACAGGCCAGTCAGTGGCCAGTCCGCCCGAGAGTCGCGTCTCTCTTCGGTTCAATGGCCAGGCAGCCTCCGCAGCCCCCGCCCCCGCAGCCCCAGCCCCAGCCCCGGCCCGGACCCCTGGCGATGTGTGATGTGTCTCGCGGCTCGCAGGCGAATGGCAAGTTTCGGCCCCAGAGATGCCGAGCTGTACCGAATAGATTCTCTGCATATTCTCTGCCAATTTTGCCACATTTGCCATAGGCCACCTGCAGGGGGTAGCCCTTCAGCGCGGGCGGAGAAGAGGCGTGTTCAGGCGACGTCGGCTTACATCGCACAGTCGCTCCCAGGGATGGCAGGGATGGTGCCTTGCAGCGGAATCCCAGCCGAGAGGCAGCGGCTCGGTCGCAGGGACTCTTTGGACCCGTTCCCCATTGGACCGCGTTAGAGTGCGCCGGCTAGCACGCCGCTCCGAGTTGCGCGCTGGCAGCCCCCGGCGGAATCCCAGTAACGACCGGCGCGGGCGCACACCGCAGGGCCGGGCCCGGAACTCAGGATGTCTCACAGCATATGCTTTGCCTAAGCCAACCCCGCCCCGTTCAGTCACCAGTGTTAGCAATTTGTAGCTTAGCTGGGCTGCTGCTTGCGTTTGCAATCAGCAGCTATGTTGGTTGCTTTGGGTTGCCTCGGCCAAAAAATAGCACGTGGGAATTGCGCCATTCCTTCCTGCCAGGCCGCAAACAACTGTAGGAAGGGAAACAACCCCAAACAGCAACCTCGACCCTTTGCAAATTTCACAAAGTCATGCATTGCGGAACATGTTGCAAGGTACAAGTCTTAAGAGCATATCAGCCTGAGGCAGCGAGTCCATCTGCAGCTGCTGGAATGCCCTCTGCGCGGGGCAACAGTAGAGGACGAGGCGCTTGCTCCAGGGGGCTGTCCGTCCAAAATGCTCCAGTTGCCCTTACCTGTTTTTCCAGGATGAGGGCGTAGACGGCCCCGGCCGCAAGCCAGAGTGGCCATTCTTGTGGATCGTTTCACCAGCACTTGTGAGACAGTGGGCCCATAATGCAATTGCTCAAACAACAACAACAATACGCATCGATTGCGCGGAAGACTGACCGGAGCGCGCACATGAGAATTTCCTTGCGATGCTCTCGGCAGTTTCACCTGCATGCGCCGTCAGAAAGCCATGTGACTCCACGGCACGCCACACGCATGGCCGCCGTCCGACTTGCATGCCCAAAGAATGGTGTGCTCCCCTGCGCGCTCGGACTGGACGCTTGAGAACATCGGAAGTGCGATGTGTGGGCTGCATGATCTACCACCTGCTCGCACCTGCTGCTCGAAAGTGTGTTTGTGAGAGTTGTGTTCTTCATTCTTCGTGTCCACCGTTGATAGCTTGCAGGCTTATCATGTCTTGTGAGCTGACATGACAACCAAGAGGGCTCACAGCCTTCAAGAGGGTCACAGGGCCAAAACCGGTTGTGACGTGACAACTTCCATTTTTGGATGCTCGGTCACATCCCATATTTGGCTCAAGTACTTCTTGGCGGCCTAAAACGGGCCACCATGCGACCGTCGGCCGCTTGCTTGCAACCATTTGGTTCTAGGGATTTCATTTGAGTGGGCATGCAGACAACGTTGAGCTAGCAGCTTTTTTAACTTCGTTGGTATTGTTGTTTACTATTTGCACAGATGACCGAAGCAGTCGTTTGTGGACGCATTTTGCTCGTGCCTGCCTTCACAGCTTTCCTCAAGACAGGTTGAACAAAATGGCAACATCATCGCTGCTGACAATGGACAAAACCAATTTTCCTGCTTTGCAAATGATTCCAAAATGGAGGTTTGCTCGTCAGAGGAGAAAACCCAACAGTGTACAGAGATATGCTAGCTTGCAGTCCCACCGTGCGCAATACCAGTGAGGTATGAAAGCATTTCCTGTAGGTGGACAGAGGGCAATTTTATTGCACAGCCCAAGAAAAACATTCCAAGCTATCGGGAACTTATGGAAACTGGACCTCCTCGCACAAAAAGAGCTAGTCAGCAGGGTGGCCAAAAAGCACGATTTACTGAAGAGTATCTCCGTACCGCAAATTAGCCGCTTGCCTTTGCACAGAAGAAGTTGTCCGCGCAATTTCTTTGTTCAAGTTCTTTGAGCAATTTCATTTGCACAAGTTCTCTGAGCATGTTTCCCGAGCAAGTTTCTACAAGCAGAAAGGCAAATAGGGGTACCTCTCGCACAAAAGAAAACCATGTTTTCTGGACTCAAGATTCACCACTGCCCAGGCAAAAAATATTTCTCCAGAATATTGACTCCAGAGAAAGGCCTAGAATCCGTTTTGAGACTAGAGTGTATGAAGCCATTTTACTCTGGTTTTGGGCAGAAAACAATTCCGTTGCAACAATACGTAAAAACAAAGAGAGCCCCTCTGTAGTTCTGGAAATTTGCTAAACACGTGCATTTAGATCCGTATTTAGAATTATGGCACCCCCCCATTCTTGTCCAATAATTGACAGAAAACCTGAAAAAGCTCCAGGGGCGTGCGTGTGTATTATAACTATATATATAAATATGTATACATGTACATGTGTGTGTGATTGATCCAGTGCATTTTTGGTCGCACGATGTATGTCGTGTTTATGTTTGCGTCCAAGTAGAAATCAGCGATCCTGCCACCATGGCATTTTGACACAACAAGCCATACAGCTATATAAAAGAAAACCGCATCATTGACGCGCGAGGAGCTCTTCTCTGGCGTGCACGTGCCGGTGGTGTGCGGCCTTGCGCCCGAGTTGCGAAGTTTGGAGGCCAAAGTCGACGGCGAGACCCAGGCCGTGGGTTGGGGGTGCCGAAGGGCGCAGGACGGGTACGGGGAACTTCGTAGAGCTTGACACGAACGCATCCAGTGCAAAGTTTGAAGCGTGAGCAGCTAAGTTCAAGCAGCTGCCCCAGATGAGGTTAGTTTAATCAGTTTTGGCCCAATTCAACAAATAGAACCAGTTTAGCAGGGCAGCAACTTAAGCAACAGTAAATCAATTGACGTAGTTTGATTAGTTTCCTGAAACCTAGGGGCTTGGACGATAATTAGCTTCATTATTGAAAGTAGTTAGATTCGTTTAAGAGGACTGTGGCAGTGCGCTGTTTGCTATATGATTTGCTTGTGCGTGCAAGTCTGTACTTGAATGGCTTGTGTTGAGCTCTTGCTGAATAACTTGTGTTGAAATGTTGACTGAAGTGTAAGGAAAGCTGTACTGGAGGGGACATCCTGCATAGAAATTAGAAGAGAACTAGAATACGTGTCATGCAAATCTTCATGCACCTAGCGATTGTCATTGGATGTTGTCCATTGTACATCCCAACAAATTCAGTTAGACATTAACATAGTTTGATGAATACATTGCGTATAATTTCAGGTCCCAAAATCGCTTTTTGCTGGGCCCCCAGCACTACCATGGTCAGAAAGCACTGTGAAACAGTGTTGTGTAGCCATCTTCACCAACAGCCGATTTCTAGAATTCAAACCGATTTTGCGTAGAATGCGTATTCGGAATCCTGCTGGACAGTCTATCTTAAATTTGAAAGTTACATGAATTCCAGGCAAGCTCAATTACAGTTTAATCAGAATTTAGCGAGACTTTGATAAGGACATAATCCAAATATAATTTCTTTGTTGAATTGGAGTTTAGATAAGATTTGTTCCATTTCAAATATGACTTTACACAGGATTTCCTTTCCAAAAGTGTACACACGACTACTATATAAACAACATATTCAAGCAGAGTTCACCTTGAAAAGTGAAGTTCAAACTGACATACTAAGTAGGATGACCCTTCCATGTCAACAAATCTACTGGATCAGCCCTGTCTAAAACCTAACTCAGAAGAAAAACCCTCGACACCTGCATTCGTCCAGAATGACAGGCTTCTAGAAGCGTGTTTGAGGATTTTTTGTCATTTTGGACTTTGTCTTGTGCTTGTCGCACGAGTTTTTTTTTGTTGGTTTGGGGCAGGCTTGGTCTATGGAAAGAGTCTGATACTTGTTGTTTTTTTTGGGCAGGAATGCATTAGAACAGCACAAAAGACAGACATGTACACTCATACCGCCACAGTCCCCTCTGTAGTTTGTTAGCTTAATTCGTTTCGCAGCGCCTAGAGCTTATGAAGTGGTTTTTTGACTAAGTCCCGGGTCCTGGATCAATTAAGAAACCAATCAAATTAGTAAAGCCAAAAGCGAAATGAACAAATGAAGTAGTTGCATTGTTTCATTCGGTTCTGATTAGGTGTTCAAGGCACCTCATTTAAGTATTTCTGGTTAAACTACTTGCTGCTTGCTCCCTTGAGTCCTGAAACAAGGAAGACACTTGCACTAATTATGCTGGCTAAAAGAAGGAACCTAATGAACTAATTTCAGAGGGCTTCAAATTAAACTGATAAGGCGAATGATTGCCTACTCTCGGGAATCACCGGAGAAGCTAATTTAGCTAATTCAATGTTCTACCCCAAACAAGTACAAGAATTAGGCTGCACCACCAATAATTAGAATCTTGACCTTCTATTCATTCTAGCTTGTTTGCATTTTTGCATTTTTACCCAGTAAACCGTAATATCGACCACATTGCATGTTAACCCTGCAGCGTTCTAATACGTCCAAATATTTGACTCTGGTGAGACTAAATAGCACTACTAGAAAACCAGCAGGTTTACATGATTTTGGAATTCAGCAATCTCGAGTTTAAATCTTTGGAGAATTGTTTGATTGAGACCATTTGATTCTAGCTTGTGACATTGTAGGTTCGGATCCTTCGAACTATTCAAGCCATTTGGACTGTTTGCACTTTTTCAACTTACCCGGCAGTATACAATTAATATTAGGATCTACATCCCAATGATTGGAATCCTGAGATTCTAATCGTTAACATCATTTGGGGCTGTTTGTACTTTTGGAATTTTCCCTTCATATATTATAATAATTGGGATCTTCACCCCAGGATTTCCAGCTTCGATATGTCTTTCTCGCTTATTTTGTTAGCCTTTTGCGCAATTTCTAACCCGTTTGGTTCCAACAGTTTGAGTTTGCATCCCGAGCTTCTACGGCGGGCTTGTGTTCGCTTGCTGGTTTCCAATTTTGCGCCAGCTGATTAAACATATTGTTCCAGTGGTTCTAATTGGAATGATTGACACAATCAAAGTAATCAGCATTGGGACGACATTCTAACAGGACTCTGGAAATCCGGAGCCTTGGAACTCCACAATCAACGGAATTGCAATGCCGATTCCAATCTTTTGGGCCTGCGGGTCACGTTTGTTGATGAGAAACGTATCCTATGGTATGATATGGCTGGTTAGGTTATGCATGTTGCCCACTCCGGCCCCAGATGATGCCGGGGATGCCAGCTTTCTGGGTGCACGCGCGCGTGCAGCCCAAAAAGAACAGCCCGCAAGCCAGCCCGGAAACGCAAACGCAACAAAACGCCGCAAATAGCAGCGTTTTGTGGCTGGGGTCGCGAGCGCGCGCCAGAAGGCCCAAAAACCAACGGGAAAACAGCAAGGACCGCGCAGCCACAACAAGAGCAAAACGAACAGAACAACAGCCCAACGCTCAGCATAGCAGTTTTTGACGGTATTTACGTTCTGAAAAAGAGGGCTTAATGGGTTGAGAGCCTTTTTAGAAGGAGGTCTCGATGATGCACACCAAGCCTTGCTGAAGCATCACCCAGGCCCAACCTCAGACTCAGCCACGCGGCCTAAACCCTGTATTTACGCGATCGGTGGTTCGGGCATGCAAACATAGCATCCTCACGCGCGCTGGTGCCCAATAGTGTGTGTGGGCGTGTTTGCTGAGTTGCCGGGACGCGCGCTATTCACGATGCTGACATTGAGGTGCTTTGAAACGGCAAAATGTGCATCTGGTCAAATCGGATGGGTTTCATGCTGATGGTGCAGGATGACTCCATTCCTATGTGGCAGTCTGCGGCCGCGCCCCCGGAATTGTGGTGAAAGTGGGGACACTCGCTCCACGTGGTGAGCCAAAGCAGACTCAAGGTGGAGCAACAGAACGCATTTTATTGCGCTGCATTGAGGCCCGCGACGGACCAGTGCCTGTTTGGCGCCATCAGCAGGCGTGAGCGTTCAATGTCGGAACTGCAGATTGTGCCAGCCAGTTTCGGGCGGTGCGCACGTTTCTGGCAAAGGAAGCGGGGTTTCGGGCTGTTTCTTTTAGTCAAGGATACTCCTGCGCGGATACTTGCACGGCCAGGTCCAAGATGCAGTCCTGAAATTCTGGGACCTTTGCAGGACACATGCGCGAGTCGATTGGCGCGGAAATCTGCCGGCCCCAAGGGCTAGAAAAAGAACAGCCCTCGACGCTCCAGAGGAACCGAACCTAGACCTTTGAGGCCTCGAGTGATTGAAAATCGGGAGGAAGGACGAGACCGGCATCCCAGCGGGGGAGTTCCATGGCATCATCTTGCGTTTCTTGCGCATTTACCTGCCGGGCCTTTCCGAGGCGAGGCCTCGAGCGGTCGCAAACAGGGATGGGCGTTGGCATTTTGCAGTTTCATTCTTGGCGATGGACTGCCGAATTGTCTCGCCCAATTGTTGCCCCGACAGGGAATGCACTTCAAAAACTCCAGTGATCCCTCTTTGGGGCTCGCTTCCTTTCCTATGGCAACCCAGGAACAGGAGCAGCGCCTTTGCGAGAACAGCTGGCAGGAGGCGAGTGCTCAGAATTCGCGCTGAGTTTCTTCTATGTCACCTCAATCTTCTGCAACGATCAGTCCCTGGGCAATGGAAATCCATTGGCCCACCTATGTGTCCCTCAACAATTTCCATGTTGTCGGACCCATGACCCATTGAGAACTTGAATTCGCAAGTGGGAACCCGCATCCAATCATTCCAATCCACAATTCCGAATTGTAAAAGTGGCCCTTTGCGCTTTGAGTCGAAGCCCCAGGCCTGCCAAGGCTGCGGAAGCCTGAATTTCTCGATCTTCTTCCGGGCCATGGCGCCAATGGGACGGGGACGTTTGAGGATGCTCTCGGGGGCGGCCGTTGCCGCACAAAGCTCAAGCTTGGGTGTATAATGCGTCGGCTTGCGTTCTTCGTTGCGGAAAAGGGAGTGTACCCCTCATTCGTTCACCCCATTGGATCCCTTCAATGCGTTCCTTGAGAATTGGAAGGTACGCCTGGCTCAATCCTGGAGCGACTCCAACGACCCTGAGGACGGGGCAACCTGAGGGAGTGATAAGTATGCTGAGATGCTTCTTGTTGCGAGTATGTTAGCTTTTGCAAATGCGGCCGGGCGTGAGGTCCGAATGATGCAAAGCGGGTTGAATGATTTGGCATATCAGTCTCTGCTGTACAGTTCGTGCTGGCAGTGATTTAGCGACGCGATGAAGTTAGATCCCAACAATTTGACAGCTGATGCCAGCATTTGAGTTGCGAGCTGATGCAGGTGATGCCGTCAGGCGCTCGCAGTTGGTTTTTCAGATTTGTATGCAGACATGGTTGATGTGTTTGCTTGATGCGCTTGACATGGGTCAATGTGGATGATGCATGCAATGTTTGAGACGATTTGAGTCTGGCAGGAGCGATGAGGATGAATTATATATATATATATACACATTATATTTTGTTGCTGGCGGGTAGCACGGTGTGGTTGACTTGGCATTGCCACGGGTGTGGTGTTGCCCACTGATTCGGATCCATCGCAAGACACGTGAATACATGTCCCGTGTCCGACGCGAATAAAATGGGTGATGCCGATAGGTGCATGATGCGAGCGGCTGTGATGGGGGTGATGGGGGTGGGGATAGATGAGGGGTGCTGGCGGGAACCAGGGTGACGCGAATCCGAAAAAGGGCAAATTGGCCAATGGCCATCCGGCGCAAACCAACTGCTTGCGCCAATTTCTTTTCAGCCTTGCAATGCTTGCTGGTGCCATTCTCGGGGTCGAAAGCGGAGATCGAAGTGATGCCCAGGGGCCACGCGGCCGTTGCGAATTTCGCTCTCGATCCGCGCCCCGCGCTTCGGATCTGAGAGACGTCGGCGTCTGGCGACCTACGACCTGTTCCAAGTGCGAACCGAAGCGTGTCCGAAGAAGGAAAGGAAAGGAAAAGGGCCTGGAAAAGGGCCTGGATGAAAACCGCACAGGACTTCGCGGGGCTCTTGCAGGAACTGCTGAGCCGCAGCACGGCCTTCGAGTCTACGGACCTCAGTGGCCAGGCGAGGACGGCTTCTGAAGACAAGCGCATATTGCCTGGGCCATGGAATCCAAGTCAGACAGCAATTAGAAGTCCAGAATCCGGTCAGTGTTCCATGCTGGATAGTTCTGGAGCCTTAGCCCATCCCAGGTGCGCCGGGAGCCCCCGCAGCACAGGGTGCGCTTCCGCGCAGCCCAGCGTGGGGACGACCTGGGAGGCGGAGACGGGCGGGACCTGGCGCAGAACGAATCCATGTTACCAGTTGCCAGCTCGCTTGCCGCGCTGAGGCACTAGCGACTTCAGCGAGTGCCTGGAGCTGGTTTGCAGCGGAGACCTTGATGCTGTCAAGGCCAAAACGGCGAGAACGAGATCGTTGGAGATGCAATGACTCAAAGCCTTTTTGGGGAATGTGAAGTGAAGCCATGGGTTTGACAAATATGTGCAATGATCCAAAGGCCGACATGGCGGGATCCCTTCAGTTTTCCGCTTCCCTGCTGGCGTGGCCCTTCTGGCTTGGGGTTGCAACTAATTCTTACCAACTTTGACAATTTTACACCGTACAGGCCTTCGGAGTGACAAAGCCTTAGAAAGCTGGAGGATTGGGGCCGTTCGCTCGTGCCTGGCGGCAAGGTGGAGGTTTTGTTGGACCAGGCGCGCCGGGGCACAGATCCTCAGGCATGTAATTAAATCATAAGAGAAGTTTGATCTCAGATTCATCAGGCTTTAAGTACCTTTTGCTCTTCAAACATAGAGCCCCGTTCCCACTATTCGGGCCTGTTTAGAGTAGCTTAAAAGCCTGCGCTGGTGAGTGCTGCGACAGCCAGGTACCCAATGGCATCAATTACCACTCCTGCTTCTTCGAGGAGCGTCGACTTTCTCAAGCCGTCTCACTTCCCTGGAAAGGGCCTGAAAGTTGACGTGTAAATTGTACGGCTCCTATGCGGCCATGCGGGACCATGCGGGACTATGCGGGACCCCTTTTCAAAGAATGAAACAAGCAGAAAGTGCGCCGACACGGGAATGGCAAAGCACTGGTTGGCATTGCCCGCAAAACGCTCGATCAATTATTTCTCTTGGCACAAACGCCAAAGACAATCACTCTTGCAGATGTCGGATGTTTTTTCACGAGGGCAAGCGTTGCGAGAGGTGATAATTGGTACGAATGGAGACTGACTTGACATGGAAAGAGAAATGAACCGTGCAAGGCAGATCAGAACAAGCCGCCTTGGACTCGCAGGATGCATGGTGCTGACAGTCAATGATTGAGTGTTTGAGATGCAAACGTTGAGGTGGAAGGATCCAAAGATCAATCTTCCACAGGGAGATCAGAGGGTTGTGCCTCGTATCACCGGGAAACTACTGTGCTTGATCTTCCGGCCGACCTTGCAAAATGCGCCTAAGAAAGCAAAGCTTGAAACCGGGCAAGCAAAGAAAGCCAAGAGCAAACAAGCAAACCAACTCGCCGGCGGCACGAGACTCAAGAAACCCCAAACAGCTGGATCCCAAACTGGAGCTTTGATAAGGCCCTCGCATGGCAACAGATGATGAACAAACCAGCCTGCTGCTGCGCCGACTGAAAGTCATTGCAAGAGGCGCGAGACGGCAAGAGCAAATCCACACAAAAAGCTTTAAACACAGGGTCTATCCACAATGCAGACCCGAAACCCACCCTAAATCAATCCAACACCTGCGCTAAACAAGCACAAAACCATCCCCAAAAAGCCCACCTCAGCCCCACCCCAAAGCAACCCCAAAACCAATCCCTCACCGAAACCAACACTAAACTCAAACTAAACTTGAAAGCAAACCCTATACCAACTGCCCCCTATTTCAAACCACCCCCAACCAAGCCACCCCAAACCTACCCCAAACCATTCTCAACCTAAACCAACTCTGAACCCACCCTAAACCAACCCCAACACACCGCTAAACCATCTCGCAGCCACCGAGGAAACTTGCCCTAGACAAGCCTGGAACCCACCTTGAAGGCACCCCAATCCCAAAGCCAATGATGCTGAGCATGTTGAAGACGATGGGGATGTTAAACCGATGCCGGGGAGTTGACAGTGCTGGAACAAAACGAGCCAAAGCCGCATCAGAACCCAGGGAGATCGCACCTGCCAGCTCCAAACAGAAAGTCCAGGAACAAATCCGAAACAAAACTGGGAACAAAAGTACTGGACCCTTCAAGAAGTTCATGCTCCTGACAGACTCTGCGTACTGGTATCTGCGCTTGTTGACCAAGCCCCTAAATTGGCTCACCATGTTTCTTTTTTGGCGGGGCAGTTTCTGAGTGAGCATGGATATATGGGCGTCAAGAGCTTCCTTGTAATCCACAATATTTCAAATTATCGAAAACATGTGTTCGGGAAGTTGCTAGATCACGCAGCAGAACAGGTCTCAACAGCTAACGTCACAATGTCAGAAGCCCAGTCCAAGCCTTGCACAGCGCAGCGCGGAACAGAAAGAAACCTAGCCAAGTGAAGCGACAGTGAAGGGTACCAGCAAACCGCGTTGCGGCCAGTCGAGGTTGAAAGGCTTGGCTATCTGCGTTAGTTTGAGGCTGTCGGGTAACTGTTTTGAGTCGGCGAGACACCCGGAACAGAGGTGGCGTTTGGATTTGTCAGGAGTTTGTGGCTCTACCGCAGACTGACCTGGCGCTACGCAGGGCCTGGGGCGTAATTTCGTTGATTTGCGTGCATTCCCCAAGCAAAATGTTCAGGGATTCTCAGTCTTAGCATCTTCGGTCCCGGCTGAAGTTCCTAGATTTCTTCTGGTGACTTTAGACTCAACGTCCTCATTCTCGAAGCGTGCTGTATGCACATGGAGCAGGGCGTGAATGGTCTTGATTTCAGTTCGTCAGGTGTGGCTGGAGGTGGCGGAGGTGTGGCCCCTGGGCTATGCGGCGCTGAGGGCTCTGCATCAGATGGAGCGTCCGGAGATGGTGCTGAACTGCTCCGGCAAAAAGGCCCGGGCGTGCAACGACCCTCCGTCGTGTTTCCCGTCCTCCCAGTTGGGGGCCAAGTCGTCCAAGCAAAATCAAGTCACTGCCTGAGGCACTGCGGCATGTAAGGCTTGTTGCCAAGGACCCTTTCACGACTCTTTTGTGTTCCGCGCAACTTCTGCAGAAGCATGCCCGTCCTGCATCCTGCAAGTCCCTCTGTCGGCTCCACCATTCTCATTTCACAGCTTTTGTGCGAGCGCCTTTGTGAACACAGGAAGAACGCATTCCACATTGCAACGAGGTTGGTGCCACCTTACTGGCACCTTCGACTTCTCCCCAAAGAGCTTGCCGGGGTCAGGAAAGTTGTGGAGATTCGACTTGCTAGAAGGAGGGAAGAAGTCGGTTGGGAGTGGCGGGCCGAGAAGAGAAACGGCACCAGGGATGATCAGAGGTACGACCAAAGGTGTCCGTCAGCGTGAGTCAAAACAGTCTGGGATGCATCGGTGTCCAAAGGTTTCCATCTTCAAAGACTGAGCATATCTAGCGTAAGTGGATGTTTACCAGCAACCTTGCTGAAACAGACTGTAGTTTTGCTAATCTAAGCGGAGCAGCTTTTGGTCCAGGGTTTGTCGAAATGCCCACATTGGCCATGTTGAAGCTGTACACGTGTTAGCAACTGTTAGCATATTCAAAGCACCTGCAGAAAGGCTGCCACCGCACGGCGTTACTTGGTCGCAAGCAAGAGACTGGGGCAGGGCGAGACCATCCAGGCCGTCCTTGAGTTGCTTCACAGAGACGAGGTGCGGGCTAGAGAATGCGAATGTCTCGCAAAGCAACTCAAAGCCTGAGAGCTTCGGCCTTCAGCAACTCAACTCTGGCGAATCGTTGCTCTCTGAGGGTTTGACACTGCCTTTTCATCGGGTGACGCGAATGGGTGACGCGCATTTGCTCACAGCTTCGGCAAGGTGCTCTGCGAGGTCTCGCCGGAGCAGGTGGTCTGCGAAGGTCAGGCCTTCAGTGCCCAACAGCGGCTCGGCCTGCGAGCGGGGCGTCATTTTGATTGACGCCCCAAGTACCTGGAGGGCAATGTGCTTTCAGTGCGTTTAGTGGTTTTAGTGTTTTTAGTGCCTGTTTTTATTTTATTCGCGCTTGCTATTGTAGCTTCGGTGAACCTTTTTTGTCAAACCCTGGGCAATCCTTTTCTTTCAACCCCTCACCTTGTTTTTCACCCTCCGCCTTGCGTTTTTCGCTACAGACCTTGTTTTCTTTCACCTGCGAGCTTGCTTTTTTCACCCCCAACCTTGTTTTTTTCACCGTCGGCCCGGGTTAAAACCATCATACACCAACCCTAAGCCGACCAAAGCCCACCCTACACCCAACCGAAACCAACCCTAGGCCCGCCCCAAGCCAAACCTTGCCAACCCTCAACACCTCTAAACCAATCTTAAACAAGTCAAACACGCTCCCCTGAACCAACCCGAAACCCAGCAGAAGCCTGCTAAACCATCCCCCAACCCACCCTTTAAACCAACCCCAAACCCACCCTTCACCCATCCCCCCCACACCATCCTAAGGCAACCACACACCCACCCTACACACACTTCAAACAGATCCTAAGCCAACACTAAATCCACCCTGAAGCCTTTCGACACAAGCCCGAACCCCGTCCTAAACTGCAGCAGAGTGTCACAAAGTGGCTTTTGCTCGTTTGGGCAGGACAAGGCAGGGTTTGCGCTTGCTTGGACACCATGCAAAGAAAACGGTTCTATGCTTCCACTTTTCTGCTGCTTGAGCCTTGTGACCCTGCCAACATCCTCAAGGATGCCGATAGGAAGGTTTGGAATCGGCCAAAACAGGCCTTCCGTCCACTTCCCCATTGTTGAGAACGGTGTATGTTTGTATAGGTTGAGGTGCCACTCGATCTCAACAAGAAACAAGGAGTCCCATCCCAGGTCTATGCCTTCAGAGATATATTAATTCCATTCCATGTGTTACTTCGGGGTGTTTGGGTTTACGGGCTTACTGGTAGCTGTTGATTCAGAAGACACATTGGACGTGGGACCTGGCGCTGCCACGTGACAGAATGCACCATGATCACAAGCAAATGGCAGGAAACGATCCGATTTCTCTCCAGGTCAAACATGCAAGCGCGCAGGCTTGGTTTGGAACAGGCTGGAAATCAAAGGTCTGGTGGGCATTCGTGCCTTGAATTCAGTCATATTTCGAAAGCAGTTGGACAATGTCCTGCCGCCTCCCCTCACAGAAACGTGAGGCAAACTGCAAGAGCCAGAAACCGCGTCCAGGTTCTTCGGGGCAGTGCAAAACGATGGCATGATCAGCAGCAGCTTCTTGCTGAAACCTGACAGGCTGGGGGCCAGAACGGTTGGTTTCGTTTTGGTTTCCCTTAGATTGTGTTGACGTCATTGGTCAAGAAACTGTTGAGCGACACCAAGATACAATTTATTTCATGGGGCAGTTATCTCCGATCCTTGCTGCGATGTTGCCAGGATGTCCTTCCTGCACAAACTCTCTAGCCTGCGGGAGAGCTTGCTGTCGCCCGGCTAACTCTCTTCCTTTGCGGGGCAGGCAGTTGCCGGGCAACGTTGGCCGTCAAGCAGGCGACGCTTTGGCTTTGGCCATGCGGCTTCTGCATCGAGAAGGTCCGTGTCAAAATGTTGATATTTTCTTTTTGTGACCGAAAGGTGGCCAGCAGAGGAAACCGTCCCACTTTCTCAACCGGTTCCTTCTTGTCTACGCATTATTTTTTTGACAAGTGCTTTCTCAAGACGTGAAACGAGCAAAAGCAAACACAGTGTCAGAAAGGACTGTTGAGATCCGTGCCAGCAAAGCACGCGCCCTCAGAAACCTCCAGAAACCTCCGAGGCTTCCGAGCAGCGCTCGTCTGGCGGCCGAGACAATGGGCGCGGCCAAGCCACCACAGTGCTTACCCACCTTCCCAGCACCTCGAGCGGCGTGTGGGATCAAAACTGTGCAACTCCTTTCCTTGCGAGATTTGAACCGGTCTCAAAACATGCAAACTTTGTAGGCTGCCGAGTACCCAACTATACAACAATATCTCTCACTTGCGATATAAATGCGATGCGTCCCGCCTGGACTTCTAGCCAGCCCTACGCTTGGAGGATGTAGTCCCGGTGTTTTCCATGTTGATGTTCTCCCTGTTGTTTATCACAGTGATGTTGCAGCGATTCTCTCTTTGCGGAACACCCCATTGTGTTTTCCTGAAGCGCTCGATGTTCTTGGCTGCCTGGGCGCGAGCAGCGATGTTCCCCGAAACGACATGCTCAAGCAGCGCATCCTGAAGTTCCAGGCTGTGTGCCTGAGGATTAAATATGATTAAATGACCTGCGCTGTTTCCTCCGGGTTTATAGCAAGCTTGCCCAAGGCTGAAACGCTTGGAGATGGCAGCATTCCCGCGACAGCAAGCTGTCGGCCTCCACGATGTCTCACGCTGGCGCGACACCACCGGCGACCAGGCACTCCTTCAGTTTCCCTTCATTTCCTCTCATTCCCCTTCAGTTCCCTTCAGTTCCATTCAGTTCCCTTCATTTCTCTTCATCCATTCATTTCCTTTCATTTCTCTTCATCCCTTCACTCCCTTCATTTCCTTTCATTTCTCTTCATGTCCCTTCAGTTTCCTTTCATTTCTCTTCATCCCTTGATTTCCTTTGATTTCCTTTCATTTTTCTTTAGTTCCCTTTATTTTCTGTCATTCCTCCATCCCTTCGCTCCCTTTCATGTCCCCAGTTCCCTCGTTTCTCTTCATCCCTTATTTCCTCTCATTCTCCTTCAGTTCCCTTCAGTTCCCTTCATTTCTCTTCATCCTTCATTTCCTTTCATTTCCTTTCATTTTCCTTTCATTTTCCTTCATTTCCTTTCCCTTCATTTCCCGTCCCTTCATCTCTTCATCCCTTCATTTCCTTTCACTTGCTTTAGTTTCCTTTCATTTCTCTTCATTTCCCTTCATTTCTCTAAAGAGGCGCGCGCTGAAAAGTCATATAGCTTATCGCCAGTGACCTGCGCCACTGAGTTGTAACAACTGTGCTGATACTTTTCTTCACCAGTTATTGCATGAACGGGTAGTTCAGCTGTATGTTGCTTTCTTTGATATACCTGCTCGCATTGCAATATATTTTGCTGATCTGAGACTGCTGCCGGTATGTGTCTTGATGTTTGACATGAACGGCTCCCTGTGCGTAGTGGTTGAGTTGATGCACAGGCTTTCCCGCGCTGTGCCGATTGCATGAAGCTCAAACTCTGCCTGAAAGATCCTTTGAGTCTAAAAATAGCCTCGGATGCGATTTAGACTCCTACAAGAATACAGACTCAAAATGAGTCTAAATAAGGCGAGGCTAAATTTATGTTGAAACATTATTTAGCCTCAAATTAGCATCAATTTAGTCTCAATTTTATGTCAATTGTCCATAGATTTTTGCTTGGAACCAACACTGCCAACTATTCGTTACTGCAAGGGAATCCGCACAAGCGCGCGCAAAAATGGTATGAAAGTGAGCCCTAGTGTTTGTCCACCAACAGCAACTCAGCACCCTACTCAAAGGACAATTGCGCCGCGGCCCAAGATGGAGCTGTGCCACAGGCAAGGGTATACTGTGGTGCAAATTGTGTTGGCTTGGGCGGTAAGTACAAGAGGGAAGCTTCGCAAAACCCACGGGCGGCCGGCAGCACAAGCGTTGGAAATGCTGGGCATGCCCACAATACAAGTCCACATTTGCTATATGATCTGCGCACAATGCAAGTGGGAAGCAAACAGGTGTCTCACGCGTGGGCCGCCCACAGTTCAAAGCTGGCACGTGGTGCAACCCTGTAAACGCCGGCTCCGCACAGCACAAGCGTCCGGCGCATTTCTTTTTATATACATGAGTGGCCGGTCGTACAAGCGGCGGTGGCTGTGCCACTGCGAAACGCATACAATTCTGTGCACAGCTCCGCGCAGTACAAAAATGGAAAAGTATAGCTCACACAGTGCACATGCCGTGGGGGAGCTTATATAGCGACTCCGCAGCAGAAGTGCTGTGACGTGCACAAGGCTTTCCACGGTATACAACTGTGAGTGTGGGCAGGTGCAACTGGCAGCCCAAACTGTGAAGGCGCAGAGGACAAATGCAACACGAGCAGAAAGCCCTTCAATTTTGCAGCTGCAGCAGGTTTTACAAAAAAGGCAGACTGGCCATCCTGTACCTTTTAGCGGCCTTCAAGGCGACGCGGCCCGTCAGCAGCAGACCACATATAGTGGCAAGCCAGCCCGTACTTTTCTGCCGCCTTCAAGGTGGCAGATACGTCCGTCCGGCCGCTCACACAGCTGCTAATCAAGGTGGAAATGCGGCCCATCAGGTCCTCACCTCGCCAGCACCAGGCCGAATGGGGATGAAGTTTGTCAGCCCATAGCGCGCTGCGAAGGCAATAGTGCAGTTGGCTGACATATTGAACACCCGGACCTCCTGTGCAGCATAGGGTTCTGAGAGCTGCACGTACAGCTGACCCAGCAGTCGTTGTTTGCGCACCAACTCTGCTGCATTCGGGGGCGGCAGTGCCCAGTACCCGTCGGCGGGCGAATGCGAGTCCAAGATCTCATCGCGTTGCAGGCTGAGTTCAAGCAAAAGCTTGATACGGATACCGTCCCGGGTGTGCAAGTCCCCATAGCGCTTCCACATCGCTATCATTGAGGGGATTTCTTTCCCAGAGCAAACTCTTCCAGCAGGTGCGTGGCAAGCTTCGAAGTGCTGGGCGCATTCTCTAACGCAGACGCCTGGAGCCTTTGTTGTACTCCACCTCGGCGCTTCCTCAACGGCGGGCCCGGCTCATCGCCCATGATCGCACCACAGTCCGCAGCGCCCAAAACTCTCAGGCCCGGATTGGTTTCTCAAGTGTTTCGCAATGCGAGGCAGTGTTGGGCAATCACAGCAAATAGTATATTGCACCAATTTGAGCCCATGTTGTGCTCTGTAAATGTTTTGTGATGCGAATTTGGTTGAATTCTGCAGTTGCACACGCGAGAGTTAGCCGGAAACACTCTTGTAAGTTGTGCTACACTTGAACTTGCTGCCAGCGTTGCGCCACAAGGCTTGGAGTTTGGTGGACAAATTATGCCATGTGAGTTTGCTGAAAAGTTGCACCACGCTCCACCCCAAGATATAAGGTTTACAGGTTGCATGACAGCTCAAAAGAAAAAGTGAAAAACATATTCCACACATTGGGGCTTTTGATTGAAACAGAAGACTCACCATAAAACCAAAAGGAAAACACAACAGGAGCTGCCTATATGTACAAGTCGCTTTGGCTCACACCAATTGTGCAAAATGGCACACACAGTGTATATATAATACATGCATTCCAACCCAGTATTTCATGGCATGCTCCGCGGCATCTATCACCCAGCCACCGCGGCTCAAACACGATCGTCCGGGAAGGCGCTCCTTAGCAGGCAGGAATGCGCACAAAAGAAAAGGTTCATGCCACGCGCGCCTTCCCAGTGATCGCTACCATGTGAGGGCATGTGTGAACACAAACTGAAACAACGCAAGATTTGGCGCTACAAAGTTGCCCCAAAACATGCCACGGGGCTCCTTCAGCGTCGGAGCTTGGACGCCAAAGCCATCGTTGTAGCCCCTCGGCTCAACCCAGTCCAAGTAGCAAGGGTCCTCCACGCTCTTCATCGGGGACTTCGCCTTACTGGCCTTCATCGCATTCGTCGCCTTCATCCCTTTCATTGATTGGGCCGCTTTCATGGACTTCGTGGCCTTCATCGCCTTCAACTTCATGACTTTTGTCGATTGGGCCACCTTCGCGGCCTTCATCAAGCGGGCAGCCTTCATGGCTATCGAAAATGCTAGACGCAACTATACTTCGCGGTTGCAAGATTGCAACACGAGCTGGGCCGAGGTAAGATATATATATGTGTGCAAAACAACAAGTGCCGCCCACAGTTTGCTCAGACGAACTGAAACTGCAAAAAAGTACAAACAGCCACAAAGCCACATATGATGCGCGTAAAAGTGCACCACTTATGTTTTCCATTGCGTCTTTCCTTTTCGCACACTGCTCGCATGAGGCTCCACGTGTGTTTCGCAATTGCTCAGCGCACGCGAAGCCGTGCCAAGATGCCCGTCAACCGCTCGAAGCACCCCGTCGTCTTGTTGCCAGCTTGGCGCAAAAAGCTCTGCATGGAGCTTCGGGTTGTGGGCCCTCCATCAGGCGGCTCCCTCCATAGCATGACATACTCGATCGAGTGGGCAATCTCAGCCACCTCGTTGGAGACCGGCTTCCTCGCATTTGCACTCTTCCAAAATGCGATTGATGCTAGCAGTCTAACAGCAGTACCTCACAAGTACAAACACATCCCAGAAGCAACTCCTTCGGTTCTAACTGTAAGAAAAGCGTCAGATCCGCGTACAACGGATCACCACTCTGGACCCTGGAAGCACATGTTAAAGGGCCTGCAAAGCGCCTGCGCAATACAATATATATAGTACAACTATTGCGGAAGGCCTGCGCGCTCTATCCACACATGTGTGATGGGCACGCTTGGTACAAGCAATGGGTCTGCGTATCGTGATGGGTCCGCCCACAAGGTGTACAAACTTTTCTCGCACAAACAAGCCGTCGAACGCAGCCGGTGTCACAAAATGGACATCCTTGAGCGCAAACTTAAATCAACTGGCGGCTTTGTTCCAACTTCAAAACTGCCAGGCTTTCCCCGAACAAAGATCCCAACCAATGCCAGTGCGCCGCATGAAACTCTTTGGTCTCAGAAAGAAATTTGGCAGCATCCTCCAGCTCCCAAACAAGTACATCCAGGTCCGGATGCACAGGAGCCGCGCACTCAGTAGCTGCTGGCAACGTAGATGGCAACAAGGTTGCGTCCAGGTCAACGAACTGCCTCTCCAAATTGCATCGGATGCGCAGCAAGCAGTTTGCAAACCAAGCCAGAACGTCGTGGCTGTCGATGTTGGTCGATGATTGGCAAAAGTGCAACCACCAGGCTGCAGCCGCCTGTGCAGAGGAGACTGTGAGGCTTGAGATTCTCGCGATAGCTGTGGACAAGAAATCCAACATCGCCTTGCCCCAGCAAGATGTGGAGCAGGTCCAAGCTGCGCGCCAGGCGATCCAAATTGCTCGCCTGGTAGTACTGCACGCAGCTTCTCACCAGCTCCACCTCGCCACCGCCAAGCCGCCGTTGCTCGTCCTTGTCCGGGCGAGACGCCTTCAAGGCCAGGGCAACGGCGCACGCTTCATCCGCACACGTGTTCATGGCCCAGAAAAGGCTTGTACGTGTAGAGGACAAGTATATATATGGAAAACCCACACAGCTGCGGCAAGCACGCAGGCGTTCGTGGCACACAACTTGGAATTCGTGTAGCACAAGTACAAGCCTCACGGCACAAAAGATGCATGCGGCGCAAGTGTCCTGTGTACAGGATAGGTGTACAATCCAGTGGCTGCGCGCAGGGCAAGTGTACAAAAGGCAGAGAACTGTTGCACACAAGTTTGTACCTCTGTGACAGCTTGTACTTTGCAGCTCTTGCTTGCTTTGCGGCCTGTGACAAAAACAGTGTCTGGGCTTTCTAAACTTTGGGCCGTGGTTCCTATATACAATGGGTGTGCGTCGCAAAATCTCTGACAATTTTCTCAAGCTCTCACACTTCAGGGCTTCGCAGCCACACATCCTCCCGCCACGCTGCGCATATAAACAAACACGAGAGAAACACAAATACTGGCGCGCTTGCTGCGCTGTTCTATGCAAAAACAAGTGGTGCAACAAGGTGTTTATATGCATTTGCGTGATTTAGACTCGCAGTTTAGACGCGCTATTTAGACTACAAATTTAGACTCGGCGCAGCTTTGTAGTCTAAATTTTCACGAGGCTATTTTAGACTCAAAGGATCTTTCAGGTGATGAAAGCGAATTTTGTCGTTGTTGCTGCTTTCTAGGTCAATGTGGTCTCCTTTGTGCATGGTGTTTCTCCTGTTTCCTGGTGTGAGTTGTTGTGTTGGTCGCAGTCGGACATTTCCACCTTGGTTTTCTAACTCAAATTATGATGTTCCCGTTACTGAGAAACATCATTAAGGATCAAAGAAACGCCTCGAAGAAACCCTCCTCGGTAAATACCCCGAAATGCTTTTGGGGCTTATGCTATGCTTATCCTGCGCGTATGCCCGTTTAAGGTTTCATGATGTGCTGATGTCGTTCTGGGTGTCCCCCGAATTGAGTGAAACCACTCATAGCTTGCAGTCATTTGGGGCACACAGTTTAGTTTTCCTTGAGACTGTAGGGATAGATCAAATGGGCCGATTGTTAGCTATTTAAAATGCACCCCATTCGGACTGGAGCATCCTCCCAAGGACTTGCTCTCGGGCGCCTGGGTGGTGGAGCCTGCTGTGAACAGCACAGCCACGCCAGAGCAGCACGAGAGCCGCTTGGTAGCGCTTGGAAGCTTTTGCTTGGACCTGCTGAAACCTTTGGGTGAACACTTGCCGTGCTTTTGGACAAAGCCAAGCCGTGAGCAATATTTGGTGTCAAGAAAGCAGAGGTGATCGTGCCAATTAAGCCCATGCGCGTCATAGTGAACTTCAGGACCTTTTTTTTGGCCCGAGAACGTCTACTCTCCCCATGATCCCACGATCCCGGTCACCCCAAACCACAAGGTTGCAACCAGTCTGAACCTGAGACGCCATGGCCCTTCCTCTCTGGACGCGTGCTCAATGTTGCCTCGAGTGGATTTTCCAGGGTCTGCCAGGATGGCCTCGAAGGAAACTCAAATTTTACTCGAAACTTCTTTCTGCGCGGAGGGTCCAGGCATCGTCAACATCGTCAACCGGCGATTCAAGCGCTGTAGGTCGAAGACCCGAGTCTGGGGATGCAGTCATAGAGGCGGACAGAACTGCTTCTACCTTACGAAGCAAGATGGGTCTCCAAATCTGAGAGCCTGGAGACATGGGAGACAACCTTTTCGCTTTTGCCCAGGGCAGAAGAACCACACGTACAGGGGGGATGCAGCACGTTTCGCTCGAGTGCGCTTTGCAGACTGTAAATTGCTTTGTCTCTGGGCATGCAGCCAAATCGCTAAAACATTAACGTTTTTTTGAATTCCAACTGGGTGGTCCTTCTGATTCTTCAGTGCACATTTTGCAATATACTTTCAATTCCTTGATGAGTCAGCTCCTGGGCTCAACACCTTGCCAATTGTGCTTCTTGGCTGGGTGTCTCTTGTTTCTTACACGGGCACACTCACACACACAAACGACACAAAGACACTCTGCGGTGTGTTCCACCTTTGCGTGCAAGTCCTCTCACCTTTCTGCTGCCTCTCTGGATAGACGCGTGTTTTACTCCTCAGACTTGTGAAGTACTCATACCTTCTTTCATTGCAATCTTTCATTGCAACTGCAGCGCTACTCGGTCTGGTATCATTTGCTGCAGTGTTGCCAGCTGTGAAAGTGTTTCTGTTCATCGTCTCATTTGGATGGTGCGGCTCACCCTTTCCGCGTCCCTTCTGGAAGAAGGGGATTTGTAATCTCCAACCAAGACATGGCGGGGGACGGACTGTCTCAGATCGAGCGAAGAGGGTCTAGCACTTGATGAACCAATTCTTAGACAGACCGTTAGTTAATCCAAGAGAGGAGTTTTGAGCATAAGAAACTGAAAGGGCGGCACCTGTTCCCTGCCAGACTTGCCAGCCGTTTCAAGGCCTGGCGAGTGATTCTTTTTCTATGGGCGCTGGATGTTGGATGTTGGGCAACTTGAAAAAGGGTTGCCCCTCTGGGTTGGGGGGTCGCTAGCAAGCAAGGCGATTTACCGGGCTTTTGAGGCAAGCGCATTGGGGTCTTTCTGTTGGCAACTTGATCCGAGGTCTCATCGACTGCGGCTCTCTCAGTTCAGTGGCCGCCGCTTGGAATTAAAGATCGAGGCATTGCGAACGCCAGTTGAGACTTCGCAGCTAAGATCTGTCTTTTGCCTCGCGCGTCGGGCGAGCCAGGAGGCCTTCTTGGTGCACAAGGTGCTGCGCTTGCCCGGGCTGGACTCGGCGCTGGAGGAACCCGAGGTTCCGGAGGCGGCCAAGGCGGCAGTTTCTTGCCCGCATGCCGCTACTATGGCTACCCTGGTGTTTTTCCGCTTTTCCTGCCATGGCAAGAACTCCCCTTTGTGCACCCAAAGTGCTGCGACCTGGCTTCTGATACTGTAGAGGCCGCAATACTGGGCCCAGACAGGCATTCACTTTGAAATTTGTTTTTGTCCCATCCTATGCAACGCATCGTTGATCGCTTGGATGAGGCGACTTCCCAACAGTTCAGTCATTGACTTGAGCTGTGGATGCTACGCGATTGACAACTTGGAATAGAGGATTTGCGGGAAACTTCCATGGATCAGAGAAACCTGAGAGAACCGGAAAGACCGCTCGCGAAGAGAGCGCGAGGAGAACTTTGAGAGGGCCTGGCCACCTTCACCATGTCTCGGCGCGCGTAGGGCGCGTATTCGTAGGGAGTTTGTCGCGACTTCATTTGAGCCAGAACTGGCATGTGACACGCGCGCATTTGAGCGACCCTTTAGACGGGAGGCAAAGCGCAGAGCTGCGCAAACTGGGGCTTTGAATTTCCACGCACCAGCGCCCAATTTCTGCTCGGTTTACGGGCTATTGTGTGCCGCTACAGAGTGTCCTGCGGGGCTGCTGAAGACTATGCTGCGATGCGTTTGCGATGGGAGAGACGAGACCTTGGCTGCATTTTCTTAACATTCAAGAGCCAATCCAAGCAGGCCATCTACGACAGCTTCACGGCGCAGTTTCCGAAGGACGCGGAAGGCCTCATCCCGAACGATGAGGATCTCATAAACCTTGCCAGGACTTCACTGAAGGCATTTAGGCATGAGGCCGGTTCCTTTCAGTTGCTTAGCCAACCCTGGTTTTGGGGGGGTTCGAGGATGTTCCAGGAAGGTCCAAGCTGGGATGAGCGTCACACCAATTGGTCGGTGTTCAAACGAACCCCAAGCCTAACCCTAAACCCGCTCAGCCTAATCACAGCCTAAATCCACCCTCAAACCAACCCAAGCCAACTCCAAGCCAACCCCTGAGCCTGCCCGAAACGTACTCGAACCCGTCACCTTAAACCAAAGCTGCGTGTTGATTTGATTACAGTTGTTTTCATGAGTAATTTTGGCATGAGGTGGATTTGTTTGATCCTTTGTACATGTATTTGATCTGTGTGTGAGAACATGTTCTTATCGGAAACTAGAAGATGGGTGGCGTGAAAGCATTAGCAGCGGCGACAAGTTCTCCTAGCAAGTTCTCTGAGCAAGTTGCTCTCAGCAAGTTGTTGGCGCGATTTCCTCTGAGCAAGTTCTCCAAGCAAGTTCTCTCAGCAAGTTGCCCTGAGCAAGTTGTTGGCGCAATTCCCCTGAGCAAGTTCTCTCAGCAAGTTGCTCTGAGCAAGCTGCTGCTGGCGCGATTTCCTCTGAGCAAGTTCCCTCAGCAAGTTGCTCTGAGCAAGTAAAAGTTACGAATTTCCAGCCGAAGCTGCGAAAGCTTACTTCGCGTGCTGCTTTCGTACTTGAAAGTTGTGTTTTTCCAGCCGGAGCTGCGAAAGCTTACTGTGCGTGCCCGCGGACCAGGAGGGAATCGAATCCGCGACGGGATTGCGAAAGCAGGCGCGCAAACCACGAGACAACTCCCAAACGCCATATCGTGAGCAGGAAAGCCGCACGGCGCCACAGCGAGAGCACTTCGACACATACGCAGAAATCGTAAAAAGCCTCTGGTTTTGAACGCCGACTCCGCAGAGGGTCGCGCGGCCAGATCAGAAATCGTAGAAAGTCCCGAGCTTCTGCACACCGACCACGCCGATCCCCGCAAAGGGTGACGTGGGTCCCCACAGAGGGTCACGCGCGAACCGCAAAAAGTAGAGAAGTTTCTAGTTTTTTACATCGACCACGCATCTCCGCAGAGGGTTGCGCACGCATGTTACCCAGTTTCTGCACATCGACCACACCGATTCCCGCAGCGGTCGCGCGGTCGAGCTTCACGTTCTTCTTTCATGCGCGAATTCATAAGAAGATTAGCCAATGTATTTATCTAGTGTAGCAAGCTCTTCTGCAACGTGCGAGCGCAACTTCCTAGCGCAACTCGCGACTGCAACGTTGCTAGTGCATCTTGCTAGTGCTCTGGCTAGTGCGTTTTGCTACTGTTATCTTGCTAGCCCTACTGGATGCTACTGGCTAGTGCAGCGTGCTCGCGCTATCTTACCAGCGCAATTCGCTAGTGCATCTTGCTAGTGCTATCTTGCCAGTGCTGCTGGCTAGTGCGTCTGGCTAGTGCTATCTTGCGGGTCCAACTCGCTAGTGCAACTTGCTAATGCAGCTTGCTGGTGCTATCTTGTGCTACTTGTTGGTGTAATCCGCTCCAGGTTTTTCCTGGACCCTTCGCAATGCTTTCGGGAAAATGTTTGAACGACGCAGTACTTGGACTGACAGTGGCCTGGCCCAGGACCTCCCCTCTCGCGCTATGGGTATTCGGCCAGTGCGACTCAGGCGAGCAAAGCCTTGGCCGGATTGTGGGCAGGGCATTTGTTCAGTGACAGCAAGTTGCCCACGTGTCAAACAAAGAGGCAGTTCTGGTTCGGGCTCCAACTGCCGTTTTGTTTTTGTTTGGAGTTTTTTCTGGCAGGTGCGTACAAGACGGAGGCGTGCCGGCGACTGGCGGACAAGCTGCAGCTGCAATGGCTGCAGCCAGCTTATGTGCCGTGGCAACGGGCGCATGGATTGGGGAGGATTTGAGAGGATTTGGGAGTGGTGGTGCCCAGTGGTGCCGATGCCTATGGCCACAAAGCATCACAAAGCAAAAAGCTCCGCGTCAGGTGTTGGAGCTGGCCACGAAGACGCCGGCTGCGCACCGCAGCCCGCTGCAGCGGCGCTGCGTGGAACAGCTGCAGCGGGGGATGACCGTATCCGTGGGGGACGCATTGAGGCAAAGGTACCGAGGGTCGAGCCGGGCACGGGGGCTTGAGGGAAGTGGGATTTCTGCTGATTTGCGATGCATCGACAGACCTCATTTCAGGATACATGTTGCTCTTTAAAGAGGCCAGTACCCTTGAGCCCTACACAAACACATGTTAGCATTCTAACATTCATAGAGAATACAGCAGTCTGTCATTGTAACAACTCTGGAAGGCCGTGCGCACCACGCAATGCCAACACAGCTTCTGATCCGCTTGTTCTCAAGCAGTCTTTGGTCTGGAGGATTTATTTTCTGGTTTTCTCTGTTCAGACCCAGCAGCAACATGTCTTTTCCACCTGAAGAAAATGTTGGCTGCTTCTGAAGAGTGAGCGTCTGGATATGTGCGCTTTGGGGTTACTACCAATTGAGCAGCGCCAAAAACCCTGACAATACAAAGTAGTAAAGGGGGGTGTCCTATAGAATCCCCGCGAAAGCCAAAACGCAGGCCGCGAAAGCTTGCGAAAGCTTATCGCGAAAGTAACCAAAGAAGGTCCCGCCGCGAAAGACCCGCGAAAGCCTGCATGCTGTGTGACGGTCCGCCGCGGAAGCGTCGCGAAATCAATTCTAAAGAAACCAAAGCCCGCGAAAGCAAAACATGGGGTCGCGAAAGCATAGCGAAAGGGTCCGCGAAAGCAAGTTTATAGGACCGCTTTTTACACAAGAGTATTTGGCACGGCTCAATTGGTGGTTTAACAGTTGCTACGTTTTTCTGTTAAAAACCAACTAGAAAGATATTGGGCCCAGAATGCACACATTTTTTCCGATTAGTTCGGCATCTAGTTTATGTGGGTTCACTTTGAGCAGCTTCTCCGGCCCTTTTGAAGCCTCCGCCTAGACCCTTCTACATCACTATCTCGCCATTTTGTCCACACGTGTGCTCTTCTGGGACAAACATCCTGTCTTTCGACAAGTGGGAACATGGAGCGTCTTCGCAAGGACGTCCAGCAGGACTTGAAAAGCGTGCGCTTGCCACAAGCTAGCTTCGCTTGCCAAGTTGCAGTGTTTTGAAAAGGAGCGTTTCATAGGCCGACTCATGGATCCATTTCGGTCATTTTGCACGTCATGTTTATACCACTTGTGTGGAGAACTGTTTGAGGAACATACCGCGCTTGATCTCCAGGCTCACCATGGAAATGATGTCCTCGGCGCTGTGCAAGGCCAACGGCACCCTGACCCAGTTTATTGTGATGCTCCTGGAGACCTCTATGCATCCCCAAAGAACATGACTATTTCGGCCCGTATTTCGTTGCAGCAATTGTAGAGCCATTGGATGGTTGCATTCGCTGTAGAGTCCACAGAGACAAAAGCTCTTAGGGAGACTGCCAGAGCAGATTGTGGTCCCATCGACCAGGCTCACGCAAGCTCCCAACTTTCCAAAATACATCCACCTCCAAAAAAATATAAGTTACTATACTGTTTGGAGGTATGCTCCCTTCGAAGATGAGTGGAGCGTGGCCCGTTGTGCTGGGCCAGCTGTTTGTGCAGGGCCATCGCCTGAGGCTACATCTTGGATTTCCCTGCAGTGACCCAAGAGGAGTTGCCAGAGGTCCTGGATTTCTTCGGGAAGGCGGGTCGAGTTCTGCTTTGGCCCTGCCCTTGCCCGTGGCTTGGAAGGTGAAGGAGCTCTCTGGCAAGACTGAGGTGCCCTGGGGAGAGGTGTTGGAGGAGCCTTTCAGCCCGTTTTAGCCCGTTTTGGTCCTCGCGTCCGTTTCGTCCCCCGATGCCGCGAGGACACCGTGGAGCTGCCGGCGCTGGCGCCGGAGCCCGAGCCGCCCAAGCCGCCCGAAGAGGCCGAGGCCGAGGCCGAGAAGGACGAGGCCGAGGCCGAGGCCGAAGAGCCAAAGGAGGCCAAGGAGGCCAAAGCGGAAGACGAAGGCGAAGAAGGCGAAGCAAAGGACGGGGAGCCCAAGGCCGGGATGTCTTCAGTTTGTCTCGAACAAAAAGCTCGTGCCATGATCTAAAGACTCGTTGCAACTGGGATGGGGTCGACTTGCTAGGAAGGGGAAGGTGAGGCTGCGGAAGCAGCCGAGGCGCCGTCGGCCTTTTCAGTGGCTTTGGGCCTTTTCCGTTGAAAACGACCCCAACAGCGGTAGCGTCCAGACGATGTATTCATTTGACTTGAGTCCATGGGCTGTGTGTTTCAAGCCGGCTACGCCAAAACCCAGATTTCTATCATCCAAGAGTTTTCCAGACCAATACTATCGAGCCACGAGAAGTCCCATCGCTGTGAGTCAGACACTGTGATCTCTAGATGTTCTGAAATGTTGTCTCTTTGCATATCTGTTCTGGTTGCCAAAGGGTGAGGGAAAGGGAATCCCGGGCCAATGGAACGCTGTCAATTGCATGTTCCCTCGAGGTGGAAAGCAGCTTGACGAGCATTGGCCGGAGTGTCGTTGAAGGGCTGTCAATGCGAGACTGCATTTGGAAGGACCCGAAGGACCCAGTTCGGAGGTCCAAGACGGTACAAGGACTTGAGAGGAATCCCATGGGTCACGCCGCCCCCGATCAGGCAACCAGGCGATTTGGCAAATCTGGGAAATCTGGAAATCTGGGTTCCCTGTGTCAAGAGCTCAAAGCCTGAGGTCCGCCAGAGGCGGGGAGGTGCAGGGGAAGTGGCCGGCAAATGGCGAAACCGGGATTAGGATCCATGGAGCCGGCTTCAGGGTCTCCCAAGAGCGGAGAAATTTGGATCCAAAGCTGCAGGTTTGGCACAGACGAAGCACAGGCCCCAGCCATAAATCATATTGAGCGGATATCCGCTCTTCCGATTCTCTACGTTTTGAGCCACATTTGATCATACACGTTGCGCAGGCGCCCGCGCCCAACTGCTGGGCCAACATCTTGCCGAGGTGCGGCAGCGGCTCGAGACCAAATAG